AATCGAATGGCTTTTGGGTTAACCAATGCGCCTGCGACTTTTCATCGCTTAATGGAACGTTGCATTGGTGAATTACATTTAAGAGATTGTCTCATATATCTTGATGACATCATTATCTATTCGGACAATATAGATTCTCATTTTCAGCGTTTAAAATCAGTTTTTCTTCGTCTTGAAAAGCATAACCTTAAGCTTAAAGGTTCAAAATGTGAATTTTTCAGAACTTATGTTCAATATCTTGGACATGTTGTTAGTTCTCAAGGTGTGGAAACTGATCCTGAGAAAATTAGAGCCCTGAAGGAATGGCCTGTTCCAACTTCTGTGAAAGAACTCAGAAAATTTCTAGGTTTTGCAAATTATTATAGACGTTATGTAGAGGGATTTTCTAAAATCGTTAAACCTCTTAATGATCTTTTAGTGGGTCACCCTACTTATAAGAAGGCAGTCAAATGTAAAACCTGTACACCGTGTAAATGGGAGAAAGAACAACAAGAGGCATTTGATATTTTGATTCCGAAATTGTCTTCTCCACCCATTTTAGCTTATGCTGATTATACAAAGCCGTTTATTCTCAATATCGATGCTTGTTCAGATGGGCTTGGTGCAGTTCTTTACCAAAACCATGACGGGAAGGAGCAAGTTGTTTCTTATGCCAGCAGAGGATTAAGGCCAAGTGGGTTGAACTATCCAGCACACAAGCTAGAGTTCTTGGCACTCAAATGGGCAATATGTGACAAATTTCATGAGTATCTATATGGAAATTCTGTTACAGTCCGTACTGACAATAATCCCCTGACCTACGTTTTCTCTACTGCTAAATTAGAAGCCATTAGTCATAGCTGGTTAGCCGCATTATCAACCTATAACATCAATATTATATACAGGGCAGGAAAACATAACAATGATGCCGATGCACTATCTCGACTACCGAACCCTGATACTAGAAACACCATTCTTTTTCAGATGCAGTTAAAGCTTTACTTCAAGCTCATTCTGAAGGTCAAGGTCAGATTCCGGCCATGGAATGTGGTTCTGTGACTCAGCAAGTTTTAGAGTTGAATCCCAAAGATGAGACATGCTTTGGTTCTCACTTTAAAGCTGTCGATTGGAAGCAAGAACAGAAGGGTGATCTTACACTTGCTCGTGTGATACAGCTTTTACAAGCTGGTCATAGACTTACAGATCGACAAAAGTCACTTGAACCTGAATCTGTGAGACAATATCTCAAAGAATGGAGTAATTTGTATTTACAGAATGACGTCTTGTATCGTAAAGGCACATCTAATGGGTACCCTGTTGTTCAACTTGTGTTACCAGATCATTTCAGGATGTTGTTTTTACAGGTCTTCATGATGAAGCCGGTCATCAAGGCTGTGCACGTACTGTTGCCCTTATCAGATCAAGATTCTTCTGGCCTCAATTGGAACAATCTATAGAACATCGTATTCGTCATTGCCCTCGTTGTATTTGTCGAAAGACTTTGGATAAGACTTCTGCCAAACTTGTACCTATTCATTCTATTTATCCTATGAATTTGGTATGTATGGATTTTTTGTCACTAGAAATGTCAAAAGGAGGCTTTGAAAATATTTTGATAATTACCGATCACTTCACTCGTTTCGCACAAGCAATACCAGCTAAGAATCAAACGGCTCATACCACTGCAAAATTTCTATTTGAAAATTTCATTTGTCATTATGGATTTCCGAGTCGTTTTCATAGTGACCAGGGTAGAAATTTTGAAAGTGAGGTTATTCTTGAACTGTGTAATATTGCACATATAGAAAAGACTAGAACTACCCCGTATCACCCGCAAGGGAACGGAATGCCTGAACGTTTTAACGAAACGTTGATGAACATGCTTGGCACTCTTGAAGAAGACAGAAAGTCCAATTGGAGAGTTCATGTCCCTGCACTTGTTCATGCGTATAATTCAACGCCAATCTCAAGCACAGGTTACACACCCCATTTTTTAATGTTTGGACGTCATCCTCGGCTAGCAATCGATGCATTTTTAGGTATCGAACCTTATCGTACTAAGCCAACAGATAAGTCCACATATGTATCTGGATTACGTAGCAGACTTAACTTTGCTTATAAGGCAGCTAGTCGTGAAGCTCGTAAACAAGGTCAAAGACATAAGAAATGGTATGATCTGCGGGTCAGGGAAGCCAAGGTTGAAATTGCAGATAGGGTTCTTGTTCGGAATGTTGGAATAAGGGGTATAGCAAAGTTGGCTGATAGATGGGAGAAAAATGTGCAGCTTGACCGGGACTCGAACCCGGGACCTTCGGAATACCGTACCGCGGATCTACCGACTGAGCTATCCGGCCGCTTACACATCTTCTCCCCTATATAGTGAACAGTTCTGAACCGTGACATACTCCGCTGCTATATTGAAATTCGTCCTCGAATTTCACAGAGTTCCAGAGCAATGTGAATTAAACTCTGAGCTGTATTCAGTCACGGTCCCCCGTTGGGCGCCAAATGTCACAGGGTGAAAAAATGTGCAGCCAGACCGGGACTCGAAGACCGGGACCTTCGGAATACCGTACCGCGGCTCTACCGACAGAGCTATCCGGCCGCTTACACATCTTCTCCCCTATATAGTGAACAGTTCTGAACCGTGACATACTCCCCTGCTATATTGAAATTCGTCCTCGAATTTCACAGAGTTCCAGAGCAATGTGAATTAAACTTTGAGCTATATTAGTCACGGTCCCCCGTTGGGCGCCAAATGTCACAGGGTGAGAAAAATGTGCAGCCTGACCAGGACTCGAACCCGGGACCTTCGGATACCGTACCGCGGCTCTACCGACTGAGCTATCCGGCCGCTTACACATCTTCACCCCTATATAGTGAACAGTTCTGAACCGTGACACACTCCTCCTCTGCTATTTTGAAATTCGTCCTCGAATGTCACAGAGCAATGTAAATTAAACTCTGAGCTATATCTGTCACGGTCCCCTGTTGGGCGCCAAACGTCACAGGGTGAGAAAAATGTACAGCCTGACCGGGACTCGAACCCGGGATCTTCGGAATACCGTACCGCGGCTCTACCGACTGAGCTATCCGGCCGCTTACACATCTTCTCCCCTATAAAGTGAAAAGTTCTGAACCGTGACATGTTAAATATACATAATATCATAATTGTTTGATAAATATACAAAAAAACACTTAACAGTTTCTTTTTCAGACATTTTAAGACATATATCTATTGAAATGAGGAAATAAGATATTGATATTTGCATGTACAAACTTGTCAGACTCAAATACAAAATTAGTTGTTAATACAATATCAATAAAAAACTTCATTAATAAGATAAGGAAATGTTAATGTAAAGGTGTCTTTTGATTTAAGAGAATCACTCATCACTCATGAGCTTTTGTTATTTTGTGAACAAGGTTTTATTTCTGTTAAAATGTGCATTTTTTCAGTTAAAATCCATGTCATATTTTTGTGTCTGAGAAAGGAATTGTAATTTCAAGACATGAATGAAGTTTTGTTTCATTAAATACACTCAGCAATTTTGAATACTGATGATGCATGCATGCACATTTTTAACCATACATTGTTGTAAGTTGAAAAAGTTTATAAACAAGTCAAAATCCATGCAATGATTGTTGACCTTAATAAGTGAACTTCATTTAAATCCTTAAGACAAAATAGTTCACAAACTTTTGATAAAGGACCATTATTCAGTAAAATCGATGATAAAGATATAAGCCTAGTCTTTGACAGTGACCTCCACACAAGCTTATAACATAAGCATATGGAAGTAAAATCAATAGGGTAGTTTGACACATAATTGACTCATCATTTACCACAATGCAACAGCTAAAAATGGCTTCTAGTGTAAGTTGTTTACTGTCAACAGCTACAATTATAAGTGTTTAAAAGTGTTTAAAAAATGGAATTGTTCAGACTTGGCTAACATGTTTCCTAACACCCAGTTTAAATATTTCATTAATGGATTTACGAAAAAAATATTATGGAATAAACACTGATAAAAATTCAAAAAGGGGGAAAATATACATGTGGGAAAAGGTTGTAGTGTAAACGCAGGAACATTTTAAAATATGAATAGCAAGCACTGTTTGTTTAATATGCAGGCTGGCTGGTTAATATTTATCAGACCAGAATGCATTTTTAATGTTTGGTACATTGTCAAATGCTTCACAAAATATTAGTACTTGGAAATAGGATCAAAATAGGATCAAGTCTGGTGGAGTCTGCTCTACATGTAAATTGCAAAGAAATCATAAAGTAACCAGGATATATATTGGCATTTCACAAAGAATATGAAGGTAAAATAACTTTAAATATGTTTTCCTATGTATAAACTGTATATATGAAATAAATCACTCTCAAGTCAGTCAAGGTAGCTATTCATGGTTTCATTTAGATATGGCATACTGGGGTTCTGGTTACACTTACAGTATGTTTATAACAGCCAAAAAAGACAGATCATATACATGAGTTTTTATTTTTTATTAGTCTATGACTCAGCTGTATTTTGCAGACAATGTACATCAGCTGATTTTCTAAGTATTTCTTATTGAACTGGAGAGTTATCGGCCATTTTGATTTTTGTGGAGGAAAATAACAAACTGCATTGTGGGATTAATTTTTCTTGTTAATTATTTAACAAAATGTTAAGCACTTTAACGCCTTGTTAACTAACACAAAATTTAACACAGCTCTGAACAACTCAAATTTTGGCATTTCGTTAGCTAACAAAATATTAAAATTTAACAACTGTTAAGTTAATTTGATGTTAAAGTTAACAAAAGTTTTGAACAAGATGTGTGTGTATATAAATATTTAAAATAAATCAGTTCAATTATCTACCACGTTAAACTCGGAACTGTATGTCATATATGACTTAATCATATTAACCACTTAAAGAAGTAGATCAAACCAACCTTCTAGTTTCGAGTTGCGTCTCTTTTACTCTAAGTTTCCGTAGAAAATGTAGGCCGAGACCAAGACTGCTTACCTTGTAAACAACGTTCCCAATCAACACTAGGATTAAGTGTATAACACCAAATATATCCGCTCCTGGATGGATCCCTGCAGTAGTTTTTCGCGTCAGTTAAAGTGTTATCAGGGTATGCAATGGGATCTTTATAATCCCTGTGAATCCAATGAGGGGTATCATCCATCCAGCGTTGACAAGGTAAGCCGCTTAATGTTTTGTTTATCGTGCCGTTGTATCGTTGAGAAGCAGTTTTAGACATTACTAAAGAGACATGTAAAATATGCATCATTTTGTAACACGAATAGAATACATAGGAATAATAAACACTTCCATGTAAATGATTGATCTAAATTTGATTTGGATGAAATATGTATCCATTCATAGATTACGAGGTCAAGTAAAAGTTGGTGCTATATGTTACCATGTAAATGGTTCAAAATCATTTGCAGATAATATATATGTCTTGTAAAACAAACAACCTTCTTCTTTAAGGAAACAAACTAAATTCTATAATACTAATTTTAAATTGTTTGTCAAAGCCATTTTCTTAATACTGAAGTATCTCTTTGATACATATTATCTATGTTTTATTGTATTTTATATAAAATTGAATGTATGTTATTGTCTTCCATAATTTTGGACTGCAATATTGCATGCAACTTTGGTAATTGCATCAGTACTTGAAAAACACAATGCAAATAACAGATAGTTATATTTGATGTGGTTTCATGTTTCATTTCTCATACATTTAACTCTGTTTCTGTTGTATCATGTATAAGATATATTTTACTATGTCATTGCGTAACTAAAATAAATACATCTTTCTTATTCCTTACACTAAATATTAATGTTACACTCTTGCCTTATGAATTTCAATTGTTTCAAAAAAATCTTTAAGAGTTCATAAGATGACAGGTGATTCAAACGGAAAATCCTACCTCCAGATTGTTCAAAATGTGCTAGCTTTGATACGGCTGAAAATATATATAGTTTATTTTTTTGTAAATTAAACACGCTATTTGTTATCTAAAACGAAATAAGTATTGGCATATTAATATCATAACTATAGTTCATAAGTTTAGAAATAGCAGTCATCATGTCATTTAGGAATTTTAAAGTCAAAAATTGGTTCTACAGATTTGGAATATAGAAATCTTCAGAATGCGAATTTGTCGTGACGTCTAAAAGATATATCTCCAAATTAATAAGGGTTCTATTTCGCTTGAAAGGTCAATTTCTATTGATGTATTCTATTTGACTCAATGATCTTGTTGCTTATTAGTCTTTTTTTACGTTTTACGTCATTCATCGCATCTAAAATGATACATCGTATAGATCAAGCTTTGTAAAAAAAATAAAGAAACGACCCCGAGCATTAATTAACATTTTTAAAACATGGCACGTGCTTTCTCCGTTCATCTTAAAATGAAGTTTTTTTGCAATGGCAACGGCAAAATATACAACAGAGACGTGTCCTACAGAAATCAAAATTTGCTTTTACAAGAAAAGTAGACACTTTCAAAAAGTCGCAAAAGTCACGTGACATGTCGAATTTTATTTACAGGGTGTTCACAGAAGTTCATTTAATACATGATCTGTGCTTCAGGTTAAGAGTACCAAATTAACTTCCTTCTTCATTTTCTTTTCAGATTTAGACCCACATCCGGGCCAAGTACTTAGCAAGTGACCTAAATGAAGCTAACAGGACAGTTATTGTAGAGAAAATCATGTAGAGAGAGTTGCTAAAAGGTTAAAAGATATAGTTAAGTGGAGAGTTGACACTGACACTGTAAAAGCAGGTCCCCAAATTATATATTTACTTAGTCAAGAGCAGGAAGCACCCTAACTGAACATTTGAACACTATGGCAAGAAATCGGTCATAAATCTAGCCTCAGACTATGCTGTGCATTTAAGTATTAATGGCAAATGTTATCCATTAAGTATTACATGGTTATTTAACTTTCTTGATATATGGCCTGATCTTGAAGTGAAAATTCACGTAGCCTTGAAATTACCAGAGCAAAGTCTTCTACTCGTACAATAATAACAAGGTATTTCAAGGAACTTGATAGAGTTCTTAGAAAATGCAATTTGAAGGATGAGCAATCTCGTATTTATAATATTTACGTGAAAGAATTAAATCTGGAGCGCAAGCCTACAAAAATTGTTGCAGGTGCACACTGTCACGGCTTAAACATCTAAAACAGTCACTGTTATGGGTAGAGCCAATGCTTTAGGACACCAGATTCCACCATAATTTTTTGCTTGAGCAAGAATGTTGCCAGCTATATTGGAAGGCGCTACAACAGGGTCTCAAAGTATTATCTCAGAGTCAGTATGGTCAAAAACAGAAATATTTACAAATTACATGAGTCAGCATTTAGAGCCATCCCTACCAAGTCGCACTTAAGAAAACCAAGTTCTGGTGATGTATGATGGTCATAAAAGTCAGGCTTTTTTGAGAAGCAAAGATCACTACACATCTTTTCGCAATTCTACTACATGTTCATATCTTTTGAAAGCTATGAACGTTTTAATGTTTTGCACCTTTTGAGGTAGGTGTCATCAATACCTGAGAGAATCTGGTGGGCGTGTCGTTACCCGCTATGAAGTAGGAAATATAGCAATCAAAGTATACACAGCAACCCTCACACCTGTCAATATACAGTCTTCCTTCAAACGTTGTGGTATTTACCCATTTCACTCTGAAGTTGTTAGTAATGCTTCTTTTGCACTTTTTTAAATTTACAAACTGAAATACCTGAAATTGTTGATGGTAGTAAAAAAGCCAAGAAGAGTAATCAGATGCTATGTCGTTTCTAGAAAAAATTGAGGTAGTAAAGTTTTGCAAAATGTTCCACTCGCTAAGACAAGAAAACTTTAAGTAAGGTTGTTTGGGGGAAAGCTGTAACTGAAGACCACGCGTTTGATGCAGTAAAAACGCAATTAAAACAAATAACCAAAAAAAGTCAAAGCTTATCCACACCTCTGTTGCTCGTACATCTGGTATTCCAAACAAAAAAAAACAACTTGAAAAGCAATGACAGCCATCAGTCCGAAGAATAAGTAAACTACCTTAGCGTTCGTAAAGCATCTTTTCGACATATCCAAGTTTCCAATGTCCTGGCCGTTTTCTCTGCACATCTGTCAACACTTTATATTGTCTGTTACAATCCTCAAATAAGTTCTATTTCTTTAAAAAAAGGTGTATGACTAACAATCCAAATGATATCCCTCTGAATCAAACACAATTATTTTCCTCCCGTGAAATACACAAATGTTTAAAATGGCGTTGAAAATGGCGGCCGCTTATATTTAACAGAGCCAGATCTAATATAAATTCGCAGCAAATAACAGAAATATGGATGGATGCTTAGACTTTTTCACCTACTAGAATTTTTTGTTTTTGTTACTTAAACAAGCGATCATTCATATCTTTTAATTAAATGTAAATATCACCGCCCTTTAACGTTGGTTATCGTTATTTTTAGCCAAAGACTTCTTGTATTTTATGTGAAATTCGACTTATACATGTGCATAATAGAAGCTACCAGTTGGGAAAACATATTTCAATATTAAAGTAAATATCAAGGAAATTTCGTTTAACTTGTTTATAAGCATAAAATTAGCATAAAATTTGTTTGTTTGTTGTGTCAGATGTAATTTTATTTCATCTCGTGAACTTTCAAAGCATTATTCTCACGAGAGGCGTTTTTAGTGTTAGTGTTTTTAAAGCTCACTCGATGAAATAAAATTTCATCTTACACACAAATATCCTCTATATTTTAGATTCTGACAAGTGAACTGTTTGCAGGCGTTATAATATAAAAGAAATTGACATTGACATATTGAATCAGCGTTCAATGCGGATGTTGTGACAGGTGTGTATGTAGGGTACACCTGAGGTTTTGCAGTCCAGTTAGAGTGCTAAGAAGGAATGATCTTTTTCTGTGCCATTCATGTTTTTATAAAGAATAACCTTATTTGTTAAATTATTTTTATATAAAAATTGAAAACAAAATTGAAAAAAAAAAAACATTTCTTTCGGAAGCAAAAATGGCTGCCCCCATAAAACAAGTGTAAAAAGGTATCGTTTTGTTTCTGAATAGAAAGTCTCATATTATCAAGCAAAAAGAAAATTTTAGTTGGTGGTAATGAAAAATATGCATTTATTTCATTTTTACATCTTTTATAACACGAAATGTCCTTACATCGCCGAAAATATGAAAAGCAAGGATAGTGTTACGTTGTAAAAAAAAACATAAACAATTCCTTGATTTCATTCTTTTAAATCATCAATATTGCCTGATCTCATTTTATAAATAATCAACATTTCCATGAACTAATTCTTTTAAGTCATCAATATTTCCTTGATCTCATTCTTATAAATCATCAATATTGCTGTGATCTCATTCTTTAAATCGTCAACATTTCCCTGATGTCATTCTTTTAAGACAACTACATTTCCCTGATTTCATTCTTTTAAATCATCAACATTCCCCTGATGTCAATGTTTTAATTTATCAAACATTTTAATGATATAATTCATCAAAATGGTATTGAAAGTATTAAAGATATTACCATAATAGTTAGTATACTGCTCATCAACTTTGTTTAACAATTCCTCGCTTAGCGCTACGTAGACGGCTTTAAAACGTTGCCTTATACTATAAATAGGCCCTACACTGGATAATCTATTCAATACTAAAGAAACATTATCCGAATTCGAGTAAATCACTTTTGGAGGTTTTGCCAGATTACAAAAGACTTTGCCTTCCATAAACCTATCAATGAACATCAATTTAGCATCTGAAATAAATAGAAAAAATAGCAGTATTTACGTTTGAAACATGTAGATCTAGTGGAGGTAATCTATTTATCATTTAATTTACAATACTCATATTTACATATTCCATTGACATTCAACATAAATATAATACAATCCGGTTGTTATAACCCAACGTGCTGCATGTATTTACATGTCTTTTAATGTTTAACAGTTCCGGACTATATTATAAACCTTTAAAACCTAAGAGTGTATATAATTAGGAGATGAACGCTTTAGAGGCCACACTATCTACAATTCAACACATAAAAGGTAATGACATTTACATTGATATATGTGATAACTTTTTTATTTAATTGATAATTTATGCCTTATGCTTACATAATGCAGTTTACTTTTATTAAGATCTTTTATAGTTTGCTTTAAAATTTTCACGGTTTGCTTTTAAGCCCAACCAACACTTAAAAGCCTTTCACAGGGTGAGAAAATGTGCAGCCTGGCCGGAACTCAAACATGAACCCTCAGAATACTGTACCGCGGCTATACCGAATGCGCTATTCGGCCGCTTATATACTATTGCCCCTAATAAATCAACAGTTCTGAAACGTGACAAGCCATATGGCGAATTTCCAGCTTTACTGGCAGGGGAAGTTCGTGTATTTGACAAGGCACGAATGGGCTTCTGAGTGAACACCGACGTTCCGTGGGCAAGATAGATAGCTTAATTCCTCTATTCAGATCTGATAAGGTTAAAGGGCCAAGGAAGAATTTTAACCCTTAGCGGTAAATAAAGCGGTTTAAAGTCAATATATATATAACAAATCGGCGTTGGATATCCCATATTTTTTTTTATTACTTCATATATGTCCGATATATTGCTAAAGGCAGCAAATACAAAACCTATCAAATGGGTGAAAATAACAGCACTGAAATCAGATGCATTGACAGGGCTGTAAAGGCAACCTAGGAAAAATATTTATTTATTCTTTCTAAATTTTTATCAAATAATTAATCCATTAATGTCCCAAAAATAAATACATATAGAAGTTCAACTTTCACCTTAAAATAAACAAAAAGTACGTATTTTTCTATCTTGGCCTACTTGTTGTTGGCTAGGAAATATATAATTCACGCTTCCTATCGCATCAAAATATTGGAACTCAAAGAACCCGTCAATTGAACTGATCAGACTTTTCCCGCTATTTAAATATTTTACTTGTAAGGGTTACTATTCGCATAAAAAGTGTTTGATAATTAACTCGATAATTCCTTCTGCATTATATTTTATTAAATACGTGTATATATATTCGTTCCATACCTTAAATATTCTTTATATAGATAAACAAGCTGGGAATTTTATGAATTTCATTTTATAACTTTGAAAGCTATTTGAATAAAAAATAAAATCATGGTTTTCCTATTCATCTGCCTGTAAATTTCAATTTAAAAAATAAAAGCATACTTACTGTCAAAACAAGGTATATAAAAGTCTAAAAACTGTATTGAGAAAGTGTGTCTCTTAATTTGTATAGTCCATTTCTCAGATAAACCTTGGTACTGAAGATTTAAGATGGAAAAAGATGTCAAATACATTGACGGCAATTTGCATTGTTCTGTCCTGATTGAACCACTTCTAGTATAGCTTCTGCATGTTGGTATAGCTGTAATGAAATGAAGAATTAAAGGAAAGTGTAATTACTGCGAAAGAGTTTTATGAAGAAAATAATAATGGTGAAACTTCGAAGACTTAAAATAATGATGATAATAAGTCTTGCCGGGGTAAAGTATAATAGTTTTTAAATAACCCTTTCATATGTGTAAAAAACAGATATATCACAGCTAAAAGGAACTCCACAGAGGTCCAAAGTTCTAAAAACAAAAGTTTGAAAATCTTTAAAGAATCAAGTGTAACACTAAAAATGGTAAAGTTTGCCAAGAATAACATAGATATATACTAACTTAAGAATTGAACTTGAAAATTGATTTTCTGTGCTATTCTTATAGCCCAATTTTAGTGAAAAGCATTGCAAGGCTTTTCATTTTCTTGTCATTTTGCGCAATAAGAACAAGTATTCTAGAAAAACGGAATGAGGGAATGAACTGAAAATATGCATACAAGTTATAAGTAAAGACCTTCATCAAATTATTCACAAATATCGGGAAAATGTTCCCAGTCCTGATACGTCAAAACACGTGAGTCCCTTTAATACATGTAAATGATTTTCCTAAAATTCCTGGCGGTAACTGATTCTAATGGTAGCTGATGTGGAATACTTTTGTGCGTCGTGCTGTTGGCAAACAACGGGTTTTCAGACTTTCGACTTGTCGTCATGTCGCCAACGATAAACGACAAACGGCGCGTTGTTGGAAAGTGTGTTGCCCCCGCCTTGTCATGTTGTCGACCGGCTCAAATAGAAGGAACGACTATTTGTATATATATTTATATATTGTATATTACTCTTCGAGTTTTTTTCCGCCTTTTTGATTGGATAATGATCACCCAAAATCAACACACACACACGCACGAACGCAGAAAACGCACGCACGCACGCACACACACACACACACACACACACATATATATATATATATATATATATATAAAGGGAAATAATACCGGGATCCAGTTGACTTTTGGAAATAGATATATAGTTCTCTGGTCCCAATCAGTGAAGAACACAATAAAATGTTATCGTTGATTTGTGAGACATGATAACAGAGAACAAACTCTATATATGCGAATGTTGAGCCTGTTTCAATGTATAGTGCAGTTTGTTACTGTATATAAAGCTGTTCTGAAACCTTCATTTTTGTGAAAGTCGATGAGCAGTGGCTTTGCTTTCATGACTTTTATGCAAGGCGCTGCGCCGTAATTGGACTGGCATATCGATGTGGTGGTGATGAGAGTGATGACAAGTTCCTTAAGTCTTATCTGTAGAATTCTTTATCCGATACAATCGCGCAGATTCACCTTGCTAAAGAAAACGGGATATTAGTTTCGATGTGTTTTTGGATGTTATTGCTTAGAATATGTACATTTAAAATAAAATCAGTGATTATAGAAGACCTTTACATCTAGAAAAAAGGAGTTTGTCTGGACTTGATTGTATCTTAAATTGTATATCTTTATGAAGTAAATTAAGTATCTTTTCAAAATGTAATAAATCGATCTTTGCTAACAGTCATCCAAGAATCTTTTCCAGTTACATTTAATATACTTAGCAAAATCTTCACCTTTCTATTTAGTTCTGAATACAGTGTTTCAGACACTAGAACAAGTGTTGAATATGTTGGAGCAACCTTTGTCCCCATGTGTAACCTTTTACCTGATTGTAATATGGACCTTTCCGGTGTTTACTGATTTATGTAAATTGGCTACATTGAGATAATACATAGTCACTGTTTGGCCTGGTTTGCACGTGTTTATGTTTGTGATATTGTTTGTAAGCAGTTGACCTAGCAATGAATGGAAAAGATGTGGCTAAATGTTCCGCTTCGAAAAAACGGTTTAGTCCTTTGTTTGATGAATGAAAAATTATTATTTTGTACACTTATTTTAAGGCCATTTAATATAAAGCTCTTTTCAAAACGATCTGTTATTAATTGTAGGCACTTATTTAACCAAAATGAAATGGCTTCGAAACCTAGTTTATGGGGTATATTTGTGTACAAATTAACTATGTCAAATGAAACTAAGTTTTATTTTCTTTAACTTTATCTGGTATGTAAGTCAGAAAATTAACTGCATCTCTCAAATAACTTCGAACTTTTCCCACAAAAGGTTTTAATAAATCATCAAGAAAAGAATTTAAATGGCTTGTTCACATTGGGGCCAAACAACTATATGTCTAAATTTTATCTCTTCCGAATTAAGTATTTCAGTATTTTCAGAGATTTTTGATTTGCATATTTCTGGAATAATTTTACTTAAAAAAATATGAAGTCCTAAAAATTAACTTGCTTTAGTCTCAAAATATTTAAGAAAAATAATCTCATTTGATGTAAAGTTTGTATTTTTGATGACCAGTTCTTTTATTTTTTAAAATAAGTTCTCTTTTAATAAAGTAATGTATTGATTTGTATAATCTTTAAATATTTCTACAATTGTTCTTTAATAAAAATATACATTCATTATGACGACACCACCACCCTTGCCTTATATATACATGTATATAATCCAAGCGACAAGGCAAAATTGCGACAACGCGCCGCACGACAATGTGCTGTTTGGCGACCGGGTGGCACGACGACGGTGCTACAACGCACAAAATGTACCAAGTCAGCCACCATATATTCTTGCTAGGCAATAAGGCATATGTGTGCCGCCTGGTGATTATCTTCATTGTCCGCTATTCAGTAAGTACTTTTGAAATTTTTGCTTTAATCCATGAATGGTTATGTCCAATTAAAAGTTGGTCAAAGCCATTTTAGATGTTAAGATTTCTAAAAGTTAAACTAAACGAAATAATATTGGTATCCTGTAAATCATTAGTTTAAAAGAATAGAGCACTTATTTTTGCAGGTATGTGAAAAATATTTAACATAGAATTCAGAATTCAGATGAAATACTCACTTGACAGAGACAATAAGTGGAGATAACTGGAATTATGTTGTCATTATATTCCAAATTTTAATCATATAATTACTAGTATATAATAATATGTTAATCATTTGAATATATGAATTGATTATGATTGATTTATTTACACCTCATTTTTTCATTTGAACCATATTTTGATATGGTAAGGCTCCTGGCTTCAAACCTCGAATAATCCACATGAAATTCTTGGTTTTCAAAATGTGTCACTTCCGATGGACACAGAAATTCTTATTTTTAAATAATAATAATTTTAATAATTCGATTTGTCTTTTTTACAGACCTTGTTTGGAGACAAAAGCTCTGAATCCATAGCCCCTTGTCATTATTTTAGAAAACATGCGACACGAGGTGAATGTCATCAATAGTTCACTGTGTTTCGTTTCAAAAACTGATATGCGGTTGTTGTACAAATAGTCCGTCTCCGCAAAAACATTGAATATGTCACGAAACTGGAATGCGTCACGAAGCTGTATTTTGTCTTTACAAGCATTCGGGATGCTATTGATATTCTGTTGATGAGGAAAACAATGCATTGTTTAGAATGGTGCTGACAATAAGAAATTTCGATTTTTAAATGACACTTAAGTTATACTAAAATACCAGAAATATTATAATCAATCAGTGCCAAAGCAATTCTGTTTGAGTCATGTAAATTATCAAAGTATCAAAAACAATTATTTATCATCCACGTAATTATTGTTATCAATTTTAATCTAATTAACTCAAATGTCCATGATAAAGTAAATAAACACGGTATATTTCAAATGTAAAAGTACACTCACATTCCTGGGATTGAAAGATTTATGTCACTAATTGCATAGCCGTGCCGAATTATAATGAATAATCGAAAAGATTATATATTGATCGCATTGTAATGAACTTCATCAAAGTCAACTTTCTTAATTTCTAAATTATTAATTTCGATTCCATTATCTCATATTTACGTGCAAACAAAGAAAAACAATATCCGGTTTCAATATCAAACATTATAGCTTAACATTCATAGTAGGTCAACAGTGAGGTCATTTATCTAGTGAAGATTACTTTAACATGTAAACATTTACTTTTTTGTTACAAAAGCTGTTTAGATAGGGTAAGTGCATGTTATTGAGCATAAATATACGCGTATGTGCTTGTGTATCTGCATGAATATGTGTGTTTTGTGTGTTTAACGATCAGATATCGTAAAAAAATCTTACCTCATAAACATTAAACGAAATTTGCGTGAATACTACTTTTACAAATCCGTCGCCTTTAAAATCTATTATCCAGGAGTACGCTGAGCCTGACTGATAGGAAAAAGGGTAGTAAACACTATTTAGCTCAGTCTCCGAATATACCCATTTTGTCAGAGATATTACTTCATGAAGAAATATATGATTACGCATGTATATATCCGACAATAATGGATAGTTTGCTGCATCTGAAATTAAAAAAACAAAACAAATACGATTCCTATAGTAAAAACTTCTACCACTACTTCTACTTCTTATAATAATAAATAATAATAATAATAATAATAATAATAATAATAATAATAATAATAATAATAATATTATTATTATTATTATTATTATTATTATTATTATTATTATTTGGCAGGGTTGCACAGGTGCAAACCCGGGTTATAGTAGTATGGTGAATGTTGGGCAGCGGGCGGGCGGACGGGCGGCGGGCGGGGAAAAACTTTCGTAACAGTTTTCTCAGCACCTACTTATCACAGTCTTTTGAAATTTGGCATACAGCATTAACATGTGGTCCCATACCGTGGGATTTGATTTCAGGTCTGTCGCTTATCCACTTCCTGTTTAGCCAATTTAGTTAAATTTTCGACATTAATGGTCAATGGTAGGAAATTTTCGTAACAGTTTTCTCAGCAACTACTTATCACAGCCTCTTGATATTTGGCATACAGCATTAACATGTGGTCCCATACCGTGGAATTTGATTTCAGGTCTGTTGCTCATCCACTTCCTGTTTGTAGACTAAGTTAAATTTTCGACATTAATGGTCAATGGTAGGAAATTTTCGTAACATTTTTTCAGCAACTACTTATCACAGCCTCTTGATATTTGGCATACAGCATTAACACATGGTCCCATACAGTGGGACTCGATTTCAGGTCTGTCGCTCATCCATTTTCTGTTCACCGACTTAGTTAAATTTTTGACATTAATGGTCAATGTAGGAAAAATTTTTGTAACATCACAGCCTCATGATGTTTGATATACGGCATTAGCACAGGTTCTTGTATTGTGGGATATTATTTCTGGTTTGTTGCTATCCTAATTCTTGTTTGCAGATTTTGTTTTCTTATCACATTTCCTAATCACATTTATGGCATATGGTAGGAAATTTTATTTGATTTCAGGTCTGTTGTTTATTTGCATATTTTGTTGACAAGTTTAAATTTCTATATTTTCTTTTTATTTTATTTCTTTCAGATCATTATGGATCCACGAAGACCCAGACAAATATAATCACCTAATTAGTTATCACATGATGTTCAGCTTTTTTCACTTTTTCATTTATGTATTTTCTTCAGTACATGAATTGCTTATCTTTTCTATTAGAATTATAAATATTTGTAGCAAGATTAATTGCAGTTTATAGAATAATGTATGCATTTCATTTATTTGGTAGGATGCATAATTAAGTTGTCATAATATGGATTAAAACTGTTTTAAATAAATGAAAATAGCTCTTATCTTTTCTATTAGAATTATAAATATTTGTAGCAAGATTAATTGCAGTTTATAGAATAATGTATGCATTTCATTTATTTATTAATTTTTAGGATGCATTATTAAGTTGTCATAAAATGGATAAAAACTGTTTTAAATAAATGAAAATAGCTGAACATACCATGTGATAACATTTAAGCTGTATTTTTAATGTGTATAGATTCTTTTAGATATAAATTAATGTGAAGATGCCAAAGAAAAAAAAGTCACTCGAGCAAAAAAAAAGGGAGAGGCGAAAGAAAGAAAGTGAATCAAAAACGCAAAAGACAATAGATAGTGCAAAGACACAACAAACTTATGAGAACAATAGTGCAAGGACACAACAAACTTCCGACAAAAATAGTGCAAGGACACAACAAACTTCCGACAAAAAGAGTGCAAAGACACAACAAACTTCCGACAACAATAGTGCAAGGACACAACAAACTTCCGACAACAATAGTGCAAAGACACAACAAACTTCCGACAACAATAGTGCAAAGACACAACAAACTTCCGACAAAAATAGTGCAAAGACACAACAATCTTCCGACAACAATAGTGCAAAGACACAACAAACTACCGACAACACTAACAGTGCAAAGACTCAGCAAACTACCTATAACAATAATGGAAAGACTCAAAAAAGAACCGAGAAAAACAATGCAAAGACAAAACAAACTACGTATAACAACAGTGCAAAGACACAACAAACTACGTATAACAACAGTGCAAAGACACAACAAACTACGTATAACAACAGTGCAAAGACACAGCAAACTACCGAGAACAACACTGCAAAGACACAACAAACTTCTGACAACAATAGTGCAAAGACACAACGCACTACTGAGAACAAAGAAAGGACCAAAAAAAATGATAATACCAAAAATGAGTGTGTACTTTTCAATGGAGACCTACTTTCAATACTTGCAGGTGTTAGAAATACATATATTGGAGATGAAATAATGATGGCTGCCATACAACTCATAAAAGCAAATGATGTGGCAGGTCGATTTGAAATACAGACAATGTCTCCAGCTGCAATACAAGTTGAAATGACAAGAACAATTAGTGATCATCCATTGATTTCTACATGTAAACCTGCAATAAATTTTCATTACATCACAAATCATTGGATGACATCATACTATGATCCAGTGACGAAACAAGTATGTGTGTATGATTCGCTTTGTAATCCACAACATAGGGTCAGTATACATCCTCAGTTGGTACTTCTGTATGGAAGACATTTAGCCAATAATGTCCAGTATCCGAATGTCACACAACAGTTAATGGATCCTACATGCGGTGCATTTTCTGTTGCATTTGCTTTTAGCCTATATTTAGGAGTTCTACCAGAAACCCAAAATTTTATTTCACATACAATTAGAGAGAATCTTCAATATTGCCTGAAGCATAAAGTCATTCGTATGTTTCCAACGTTTACTAATACTATAACTGACAATATCTTAAATGAGTATATCAAATCTACAAGTCATAAATTATTACCTATATATGCCAGCCTCTTTAATCTTATCTTAGATACTGGTTTAATACCCTCTAAATGGACAGAGGGCATAATAATCCCAATTTACAAAAAATAAAGGAGATTCAAAGTCACCTGTGAACTACAGGCCAATAACCTTACTAAGCTGTGTTAGCAAACTTTTTACTAGTGTTTTAAATATTAGACTTAACTCATTCTTAGAATCAAACAATATTCTAAATGAAAACCAAGCTGGTTTCCGGAAAAAATATTCTACTTTAGATCACATATTTAGCCTTAATTGTTTATCTAAAATTCTAAAAAAGTCAAAAAAGAAACTTTTCTGCTCATTTGTTGATTTTTCTAAGGCTTTCGATTCAGTATGGAGAGTTGGTCTGTGGAAAAAATTACTTGAAAACAATATAAATGGAAATAAAATTGCGTTATTAAGAATATGTACTCCAATATTAAATCTTGTGTTTCTCAAAATGGAGAACAATCTCCTTTTTTGCATGTAACTGTGGAGTACGCCAAGGCGAGAATCTTTCACCTGTTTTATTTTCACTTTTTCTAAATGATTTAGAAAACTACCTCTTAGAAAAAGGGAATTCCGGAATAACTCTTGAAAATGATCTTAACTTTGAGAATCTTTTAAAAATCTTAATCCTTCTCTATGCAGATGACACTGTTATACTGTCTGATAATGCAAAACAACTCCAGGAATGTATTAATGACTTTGTTGAATATTGTGAACATTGGAAATTGAATATAAACATTGACAAAACAAAAGTATTAGAATTTGGAAATAGAAATAACAACTTCACTTTTAAAATAGGCAATTCAAGTTTAGAAATAGTAAATAACTACAAATACCTGGGAACACGTTTTGCTAAATCATGAAGCTTTTTACATACAAGAAAACATCTAGCACAGCAAGCCAAGAAAGCACTTCATTTACTTTACAAAAGAATATATAACCTTAACCTCCCAATAGACCTAATTTTTGACCATACAGTATTACCAATTTTAACGTATTCTTGTGAAATTTGATGATATGAAAACTGTTACTTACTCGAAAAAATTCATACTGAATTTATACGTAAAATTCTACATCTTAGAAAAAGTACCCCATTGTATATGCTTTACACAGAGTCTGGTAGATATCCTTTGGAAATAACAATAAAATACAGAATGATAGGTTTCTGGAATAGACTAATTACGGGAAAACAAAACAAAATTGCATACAGATTATATCAGTATACTCACAACTTAAATTTAAATTCAAAATGGCTAGATAAGATAAAATCAATTTTAGTTGAATCAGGACGTAATGACTTTTGGATACATCAAAACCAGATTGAATCTAAAAATGTCAAAAATATCATAAAACAAACTCTTCTAGACCAAAACATCCAAAATTGGCATGCATCTCTAAATAACTCTAGCAAAAATAGGAACTATTCACTAATTAAAAGCAATGTAAATTTGGACAACCACCTTCTTAAACTTAACAAACAAGACTTCATTACCTTAATAAAATTTAGGACAGGCAACCATCATTTCCCTATAGAAACTGGAAGATGGAATGGAATAGATTTACCAGACAGAAAGTGCTTGCACTGTGACCTAAATGACATAGGCGATGAATATCATTACTTGTTAAAATGCCCGTTCTTTGAGCAAAACAGGAAAAACCTAATCAAACAGTATTACTATAGAAGACCAAACATGCTAAAATTCAAAGAATTATTAACAAATACCTCCATAAATATGCTGCAAAGAACATGTAAATTTATAAGAATACTTTTAAATGAAATTAAGTAAATTAAAATTACATTTAAAAATAACAAATATATAAACAAATAAATATGTAGATTTAAAAAAGGTAAAATAGATAAATAAATAAAAAATAACTTAGATACTGCATGAGTACATTCCTAGTACTGTAAGGTACAGAATAAATAAATAAATGGTATAATAAGTAGATATAACAAATTTCTTTTTGTTAGAATCTTTCAAAGTGCTTCATCCATGTTTGAGTATTTATTAAATATATAAACATGATAGAAGAGTCCAATGATTACTACAGATATAATGCATGCACACCAGTTCTGTTCACAATCTGTATACATTTTAATATTTATACATGTATATCAGTATATGTACAGTATGCCAATGTCTAATTTCTTATTTGTTTTTGTTTGTTTTTGTTTTCCTAAGTCGTATTATCATTGGAATACATGCAATCAAGCCAAGATTTGAATAAATTTACTGCTTTCTTTGCAAAATGTAGGCCTACTTAGAAAATGAACTTTCTCACCTTAAACCACGCGCTCAGTAAATCCATTCCTGCTTCGATTAAAATCCCATTGAATAACAATATATTTTTGTTCACCTTCAACATCCATCATTAATTTAATTATAATTGAACTTTCAATACTATGTACAGTAGAGTTTTAACTGTACACTATCATTCAATAATTACTTTCATTTTGTGTATTGATTGACCTAATTTGTGCACGGGACCTCGCAACAGTGCCCGTATGTAAACAATGACGTATTATTTACCACCTTTGCATTTCTATAGTCCGTTTCAAACTGGCATCGAGACACGAATACTTTTTTTGCGCGTGTGTATCTACCCCCCTTCAGGCGGTAGCTGTTTGTTTGTTGTTTTTCTTTTCTTTTTTCATCTCTCATTCTCCCATGATAATGATAATAATTAATTTTCCTCTTACAAATATCTTAAAAATATTTTTGAACTGTGTAGAAATTTATTGAATAAAACCATGTCATGTGTTAAATTAACAAATATTCACTACTGTTATGTATACTCATGTCTTATATTGTATGTAACTTGAGTTAATAAAGATATGATCTGTTCTGTTCTGTTCTATTACTGATGGTTCATTTGAATTACTTTCTGACATATCTACTGGAACAAAATGTAGAAATTCTAAACATAATTGTCGAACTGATCCTTTTACACGTCAGCAGGAAAATGAGAGAAGAAATAAAGTTAGAGCAGAAAAGAGAAGAAGTGAGGAATTCAGAGATAATGAAAACAAAACACGTGCAAACAAAAGGAGGGATGTTGATTATCAAGACAAAGAAAACAAAAAACGTAATAAAACACGAGGTGATAAAAGAAAAGATGAAAATTACAGGGACAATGAAAACAAAAAACGAACTAAAACACGAGGTGATAAAAGAAAAGATGAAAATTACAGAGACAATGAAAACAAAAAACGAACTAAAACACGAGGTGATAAAAGAAAAGATGAAAATTACAGAGACAATGAAAACAAAAAACGAACTGAAACACGAGGTGATAATAGGAAAGATGAAAATTACAGAGACAATGAAAACAAAAAACAAACTCAAACACGACATGATAAAAGAAAAGATGAAAATTACAGAGACAATGAAAACAAAAAACGAACTAAAACACGAGCAGATCAAAGAGCTGATGATAGTTACAGGGACAATGAAAATCAAATGAGAAATGTCACAAGAGGGAACAAAAGAAAATATGATGGCTACAGAGATGTTGAAAATAAAAAAAGAGCAAGCAAAAGAAGAGATAAGGATTACAGGGACAGAGAAAATAGAAGTAGGAATTTTACTAGACAGAAAAAAAAGGAAAAATCCAAGATATCAAAGAATAGAAAGAGCAAAGTTTTACAAAAGTAGGAAACTTAAGACAGCCCTTAAAAAATCTTCAACAACATTGGAAACAAGAGTTCAGAATTTCAATAATAAACTAAAACGAGGTGATGTTTTTATTTGCACATGCTGCCATCAAACTTTTTTTCAACATAGTGTGTACCTTGTTATACGTCAAAACCTTGAAAAGTCTATACCATCTTCACTTTTGGACAAATGTCTGTCTGGACTTAAAAGCTGTGCAAATGCTGAATGGATCTGTAAGACTTGTCACAAACATATTAAAGACAACAATCTTCCACCTATGGCAACAAGTAATGGATTCAAGTTTCCTGATCAACCAGCAGTAATTACAGACAATAAACCAACTTCTACAGAGGAACGTTGTACAGCATTGCGTATTCCTTTCATGCAAATCAAACAGCTTGGAGTTGGAAAACAGTATGGCATATTTGGAACAACAGTAAATGTTCCAATGAATCCCTCATCCGTGATTGAATCATTACCTAGAAGATTTGACAACACCTCAACAATCCACTTACAGTTTAAAAGACGTTCTTCATACAAGTCTTCTTATATTTATGAAACAGTTCGTCCTAAAGTGATATATGATATAAGCATGCTGTTCAAATAGCTCCGGGAGAAAAAAATCATCCATTGAGTTTATACATGGACACCTATGCTGAAGAAAAAGCTTTCCCAGTATTGTTTGCTGGACAGAAGAGACCAAAAAGTGATAATCCTGTGAAGTATAGCACTATTTGTAAGGCAGAATTGCGTCATTCTGACAGGCGTTTCGCAAATAGTACAGCTAACATTTTCTTTAAGTTGAAAAAATTGCAAACCTTGCAAGTGCGGGACATCACAATGACAGCTCTGCGAAAAAGTAAAGGTAACAATTTAACAGCAGGACAATTAAAACAACCAGGAGGAGTTGATTCCATCATTAGACATGATGAAGGATTCAACATTCTAAAAACACTAAGATCATCTCCACCATACTTTCAAAGTAAACAGAAGGAGTTGTTTGCAATGATAAACCAGCTTGGGCTGCCTACTTTTTTTCTAACCCTTTCAGCAGCAGAAACGAAATGGAGTGATCTTCTCCTTCAACTAGCACTTAAGCAAAACAAGGATGCAATAATGGAAACTGTGGCAAATATGACATGGATTGAAAAGAGTGAATTGATACAAAGAGATCCTGTAACCTGTGCTCGATTCTTTCATTATCGCTCAGATTTATTCTTACATGACATTCTTTTATCAGAAAACAGTCCTATTGGCCAGGTTGTCGATTATTTTATACGAGTAGAATTTCAACACCGTGGCTCCCCACATCTACATTGTCTTCTTTGGGTAAAAGATGCACCAATCTATGGACAATCTAAGGAAGATGAAGTGATAAGTTTTATTGACAAAATCATTTCATGTTCATCAGCATCTACATCAGAGAATCTTCAGAACCTGTTAAAGTTGCAACACCATTCACATACAAGATCCTGTCGTAACAAAAACAAAAAGGTATGTCGCTTCGGTTTCCCTCTTCCACCAATGAATGCAACATGCATTCTTGAGCCACTTCCATCTGATATGTCAAAACAAGAAATCTCAACTCACAAACACAACTATGCCAAGGTTCAGGATGTATTAAAAGAGGTGAAAAAGGAGGAAACCATGAGTTTCACTGAGTTCTTAGATAAATGTGGATTAGACAAACAACAGTATCTTCTGGCCCTGAGATCGTCTCTGGACAAAACTAAAGTATTTTTAAAGCGAGAAATTGCAGATATACGTACTAACAACTACAACCCAAACTTGCTTCAGATATGGAAGGCAAACACTGATATTCAGTTTGTGTTGGATCCATGGGCTGTGTGTGCATACATTGCAAGTTACATGATGAAAGCACAGAGAGGTATGGGTTTATTGTTACAGGAAGCTTGTCGTGAGGCAAATGCAGGCAACTACTCAATTCGCAAGAAGCTTCAGATTATATCCAACAAATTCCTAAACCACTGTGAAATATCAGCTCAAGAAGCTGTCTATCTTCTATTACAAATGCCACTCACACAAAGTTCCAGGCAGGTTCTATTTGTAAACTCATCACCACCAGAACAACGTATTCATCTGCTGAAGCCTACAAACATCTTGAACAAACTACCAGATGATTCAACCGAGGTAACATGTTCAGGATTGATTGAGCGATATGCCAACAGGCCAAGCTTTCTTCAGAAAATTACTTTAGCAGAGTTTGCTGCTTGGTTTGATAGATCATACAGAAAGAGACAAACTTCTAAGGAAGATGAAGTAGAGATAGACACAATAGACAACTCACTAGATGATATTCCAACTGGATACGAAATAGAACTTGATGATGGACAAAAGCTCATTAAAAGAAGTAAACCAAAGATATTGAGGTATGTTAAGTATTCTATTGAAAAAGATCCAAACAATTACTATCGCGAGCAAATTCTTCTTTTTCATCCTTGGACAGAAGAACATAACCTTCTTCAGAACTGTGACTCATACAAAACTCGTTTTGAACAATTGAAAGATACAATTGACAAAGTCAGACAAAGCTTTGACAAATATGGAGAGACAATAGCAAACATATGTCATACTTTACAAGAACAGCAAGTTGATGATGCTATGGACACTGTTGCTCCAAACTCCCGTCAAACTGAAGATGAAGCTAGTGCTTTAGAATGTGATGCTCCAGACATGCAACTCTTACAACCTAAGACATCTTCACATGCAAATTATGATGTGGCATTTGACATGGGGTTAATACCAGCTTCTGAAACTACTGAAGCACTTATCAAGAATAGACTTAGTGATAACGACTATTATTCCCTTGTGCGGTCATTGAACAAAGAACAGCTATGTTTCTTATATCACATTCTCTATTCAGTGAAAGTTAGCTCATCGCCATTTCACATTTTTTTATCTGGTGGTGCAGGAGTTGGAAAAAGCCATGTTCTAAAAACAGTTTACCAAGCTCTACTCCGCTTCTATGATACACAGCCTGGTCAGAACCCCGATGACATAAGAGTAGTTATTGGTGCTACAACAGGAAAAGCTGCTTACAATGTAAAAGGCAATACATTACACTCACTGTTTCACATACCTGCAAACCATTCCCTTACATCGTACACAAAACTGGACCATAGTACCCTAAATTCACTGCGCTGTAAATTCTCACATTTGAAAATTGTAATCATTGATGAAATTTCCATGATGGGGTGTAATTTCTTCAACTTTCTCAACAACCGTTTGAAAGAAGTCTTTGGAACAGATAAACATTTTGGGGGAATCAGTCTTCTTCTGGTTGGTGATCTTTTCCAGTTACGACCTGTGATGGATAAGTGGATATTTCAAAATTCTGAATCAGGATATGGCCCACTGGCACCAAATGTTTGGCAAGATCTTATCAGTTTATATGAGCTAAAAACAGTCATGCGGCAAAGGGATGATGCTGAATTTGCCCATGTGTTGAACAGGATCAGGGAAGGAAAGCACAGTGATTCTGATATTGACATGCTTCTTCCAAGAACTGAATGCCAACCAAATCAAGAGCAAAATGAAAACATTATTTATTTATTTGCGACAAACAAGCAGGTTGATGACTATAACACACGTTGTCTTGAAAGCATTGATCAACCAGGATGTGTTTCATACGCTGCAGATTATACTATTGGTAGTGTTGGACCAACTATCAAATCTAAAGTTCTAGACATTGCTAAAGATCTTCCACCTCAAAAGACTCAAAATCTTCAACAATCCCTTAAAATTAAAATCTCTGGAAAATACATGATTACCCATAACATAGATACTGAAGATGGTCTTACCAATGGAGCAGCTTGTGTTGTCAAAAGCTTTAAGATAGTTGAAGGAAAACCTGTAGTAATATGGGTTAAGTTTGAAGATAAAGAAATTGGAAAATCAATGAGACAGAAAATGAAGAAAATGTTTTCATCAGACATCAATCGAACTTGGGTACCTTTACAACCAATTGATCGTCAGTTTCAAGTCGGAAAGTTCAAGTCCATTTTGGTTGTTCGCAAGCAGTTCCCTTTGAAGCCATCTTCGGCCATGACAATCCACAAAGCACAGGGAATATCTTTGCAACATGCTGTTGTGAATATGAAAGGTAGAATGCCTTCTCATATGGTCTATGTTGCCTTAAGTCGTGTCACAAAAGTATCTGGATTGTTCTTGACAGACTTTGATAAATCCAAAATAAAAGTTGATGACTTAGTCAAACAAGAAATGGAAAGATTAAGAACTGAAAATACTTTGATTTTACAACCAAGTTTACCAGACATAGAAAACCATCTTTTAGTCATGTGTCATAATACACGTTCTCTTCATGGTCATATCTCAGATGTTTCAGAAGATCATTTCAATTTGCTGTCAGATATACTTATATTACAGGAAACATGGGAAGTTGACAGAGATGACATTGACTATACAATTCCTGGTTTTACTCAAGTCTGTAAAGTTTTAGCAACCAATTTTGAAACAAGACCCCATCGTGGTACAAGGATATATATTAAACCCTCTGTCAGAGTAACATCACATGAAGAACTGTTTGATAGAGACTTTGAGTCCATAGTTCTTAAAATATTGGACAAAGATGATAAAGATATCCTGATTATTTCGGTTTATAAACATCCAAAAGCCAATCCGAAGAAGATATTAGATCATCTTGGCAATGTTATAACCTCTACTGACAATATAGATCATCTGATTGTTCTTGGAGATTTTAATGTTGACCTTACTAAACCACAAACATTTGTCCAAGAAATGCAAACAAAATTTCAGCTGTTACAATTAATACATGTTGAGACAACTGACTATCATACTCAGTTGGATCACATTTATTCCCTAGATGAAAATTTTCCATGTGGAGTACTGGAAGCTTATTGGAGTGACCACAAAAGAACATGGATTTGTATTTAAGGAATATTTATAAACTGCATATGTATATATTAAATCATGAGGTATGTGTACTGACATTAATATTACTTACTGTTATTACAGGGTAGAAGGGGAAGTATTCGCAAAATCATCAACACAATTTAGTTAAAATATAACCATAATATTTATACAGAACTATATTTTAAAAGCACTTCTTTTGTTACTATTTTACTACCAAATTGTTTATTACAGGATAAAAAAAATTAACCCAGATAAAATACTCCTTTTTCATCAGTGAAAATCATGTAGTTAAATATGAACAATTTTAAATGCCCAACCCGGGCCCTTTCTGTTTTGGGCCCCTTCTTATTTTTAAACGTAGATATAATAAAAGACGCGTTCAAAAGACTTTTAAAAAAGTTTTTCATTCCAAAATTGTTTTTTTATTATTTCTTACCATTATGTCGACAACCAATAAGTTCAAATTTCAAGCATTTGAACCCCTCTGTCAACGGCTGAATGATGTTAATTTTTACAAAGCGTGTATAGAGAGGCTCTTCAAATATTATCTTTTGAGGATCAACCGTCGGATGAAATGTTTCAAATTGAAACATGTCCTAAGATTAAAAAGAAAATGAATAACAAACAAAAGAACATAAATTTTCAAACAATTGTTTCAATTTACTGAAAAATATGAATTATGTCAGGTGAGTGGGTATTTTATACTAATAATAGAAAAAAACACCGTTAGTTATCTATTTATGTTCACAACGCTTATGTTGGTATTGCCTTCGGATTTTGTTGCCAACGTGATTGATGATTGTTTGATTTAAAAACTACTAAGTCGCTAAACGTTACCAGATTAATTTTATACAATGCTAACAAATCAAATTTTGAGTAATAGTATTTATCCAACAGACAAACATTTACCACAGTATAATGAATTTAACCGCTGGTTATCTTTTTATGAATTTTTAACAACCCGGTCTTGATAAACATTGCAACTTATAAGGTCCATAAGATAAACAATTTTTCATAATTACACTAGTTTTTTCTGCTGTCCAGGTTGTGTTCTTGGATGATCGGTGAAAAAAACTAAAGGTTCTTGCACCCATCGGTAAATAACGTTTACTAAAGAACATCTTGTTCACAGATGTTGTCAGTTTTTCCCAGTTCCAAATCACAATTCCTTCTACTGTTGTATCTTTGAGGAAATCAATCTGCATTAGGAACGTAAGAAATGTAATCTGGCAAAAGGTCTAGTGAACAATAGGAACAGAGCAGCAATATGAAGAAAGTGTATCATGCATTCTAAACAAAGATAAATACAATCACGCAATAATTGTAAAAACTTATTTAGTTATCTGTGTTCATATCTTAAAGGTTACAAGTCTCGAAGGACTTTATGTCAAAGAATTTCGATATAAATAATTCACTATAATTATTCTTTATTACCTCTGATTTTGTTTATTCGATTAGCGCTAATGTCAGAGTCAACACACACCAGAGAATAGATCGACTTCGTAATGGCTTACAAATAGAAATACCGATTTCAACATGTTAGATAATAAAGGGAAAAACAAATAAAGAGGACAAAAGCTGTTGTTTCTTACTTAACCAAAGGTTTACAGAAACATGACATAATTTGCATTTGATTTCATTATTAATGCATTCACCTAACAATATTAGATCCCTGTTAATAAGTCACACAACAAGAGTAGACTCCAAATGTTGATAAAGTGTTTCATCGAGTAAGCATCGAGATCAAAATGTTGTTTTTTCCAGAGGTAGCAAACTTTAAATGTACTCTATTGGTGTTCACAAGTGGAAATAAATACGAACATATACTGAAACAAAATAAAACTGTCCTTTACTAAAATATATACATTAACACAGATTAAAGATGTTACCATTATATAGGGATTTTCATCATTTATGTCAGAACACCATCCAGATTGAAACGGTCTAGCTGCTTCAGGTGGAAATTGAATTAACGAAGATGATGCCGATATCTGCGCGTCCGTTATACCCATGTCCTGCATTCCCAGATCATTGTTAAATATTTCTTTCTGAGCTGAAATTTTGCAAACAAAAGTAAATAAACTCACTATTATATATAACAGTAACTTTGATTTAGAAATTAACCCAGTTTAATGTTCAAACGCGCTAAAATTTATATGAGTGTGGATATCATAATTAAAACGTTTCAAGATAGCGTGTTTCAATTGAAAGAAAATACCATTCTCTTGTCTTGCGAAAATATTCACCGGACAAACATTATTTAAATAATGGCAATGTGTTATCTACCATCGTTACATTTTTTTTTCTTTTTAATTCTGTCTTTTTGATATAGAATCATTTGAAAAATGTGACTGGTATTTCCTATCTTTTCTCTTATTTCCAAAGAAATGATATATTATTAGAAAATGTCATAAAATAAAAACATTGCATAACAATATTGAGAGAAGCTGATTGATTTAAAGTTGTTTGGCACAACACTTGTCTATCTAGTTAGGCGAACATAATCTCTTTTCAAGTCTTATAAAGCCTAATGTATATGATAAAATTGGTATTAATGATATTAAAAGTTACCTTAATCAGGTAAATTAATCAACTACCATAATCAGAGTCGGTCACACCGAGTCTGTAATTTTCATCTTTGTTTCCTGTGCTATTGAGGAATCTCCTCTTGCACAGATAGCAGGACTTTTAAAAGTTCTCGGTACATCGTTTGAATGTTCTGATATATATAGGAGAGGAGATGGTCGGTACATCGTTTAAATATATATATATATCGGCACGCCGCAGCCGGGACTCGAACCACGGGTCTCTGGATTGCCGGTCCAGTATGCTAACCACTACACAACAGCGGCCGTTGCTTTTTCTTCGTGCTAATTGGCCTTGTTTATTTAAGTTATTTTTATCTTTATTGTGACTTCATCACTTTTATTACCATAGTGGCGAGCTACCGCAGTTGTCTGACTCAGTCACTATTATTACTTTCTTATGGCAAACACATTTATTATTTTATAAGACCATTCCCGCCCAAGAATGAATATATATGAAAGAAAGAAAGACATGAGCGAGAAATAATACATAGAAAAATCGCACGAAAAATCGGCATACCGCATATACATGTATATATACATAGCCTTGCTAATCCGAACCCTTCTAATACGGAATCCTTTCTTATCCGAAGTGACGGGTCCCGAATTTATTCGTTCTATTTTCAATAGTAAAACTTTCGGAACCTGTCTTCTCCGAATTCCGGACGATTTTTATTATTTTTTGTTTTTCTTTTACTCTAAAATTAACCTCTCGGATCCGAACAGATTTTGCCAAATGTCACACCTACATTCAAAATAACCAATAATCGCACACCTTTCAGGTTTAAACATACACACAACTGATAAGAGTAATTTCGCAAATTTCGCTTGATTAATGGGTGAAATGTATGATCTGCGAAGGTGCGAAAATAACATTTAGCTTGCATTGATATCTATCATGGTTGCTTAATTGTTTTGGCCATATTCTATAATTATCTACTTGTAAATGGCCAAAAGCATATTTATGCCGATTGCTAAATAAAGATTGATTGATTGATTGATTGATTGATTGATTGTTATTCGTCACCTATCAATGTTGATAAAATTAAGTAGAAATATCTTTAAATATTTTGTAATGAATTTAATGACACATTATTAAGTAATGGAAGTTAATTGAAACTGTCAGTGAATTAGGATAATCACTGAATCGGATAAAAGTAAACAACAATTGACAAATGCTGGAATGAATATTTGATAATGTCTCAGCCTTCTGTTTCACGTTGTATCTTAACATACCTTTGAGGACATAACATTTTTTTTATTATTTATTTTTATTCATTTATTTTTGTATTCACATGTATTAAAATGAACGATAAGAGATTGCAATGTCAAATGCATTCCCGTTTTCTTTCCTTTAACTTTTCTGCCATTAACACGAACAAACATAAAAAACTTCTAATCTATCCGAAACCTTTCTGACCCGAACTTGTCTTCTGGTCCGGACTAAATCAGATAAGACAGGTTCCAGACAGGTGTCAGAATGGTGGTTATTAACCTCCATGCATTGGTCACGGAATATAATTATATACTGATTGAAATCAACGATAAAAGTGGTTTATAAAATTAAAAAAAATATATATAAATAATATTATACCAGAAATTCAAAAGCACAAAATATTATGCCTAAAATTATAATAAATCAAAATGCTATGCTTACAAATAATTATTGTATTTTTTATTACACCCCATTACATTTGTTACATTAATTCACACAAACATTCATCAATAAACTGATATTCTACTTTTACAAAGAAATGATACATGCTAAAAATATATGCAATGTATGTTGTATGTTGGAGAAAAATACTTTCAAAGCATGTTTGCTATATAAATCTGGGTACATGAAAATTGGTCTGAGCTACCCATCAACAGCACAACCAACTGGGCAAAGCCACTTTTAATATCAGTGGAATGATTTTCGGAACAATAAGAGATCTGTAACTTGTAACTTTACATAAGAATACATATATATGACCATAAGTTTTTTTAATCTATCTGACCACTGTGCAGGACCAATATTGACCCCAGGAGCATAATTTGTATCAATTTTGTAGATGTCAACAAGGGATGCTTCTTGCAAAATATCTAAGTTTAACATCAATATGATATTTTATACATATGGAAATGTCTTGTTAATACTTGTTATAATCTTTTTTGATTTAAAGCTTTTGAAATTCAGGAATTCAAAATGCAGTTAGCTAAACTTATAATATTTATGGTATTTCTTCCTATGTACATATATCAGTCTTCAGTTAGAGAGAGACTGCCCACAATAAAGCAAAACACAGTATTCATATCGAGTGTTTTGTAAGATTATCTTAAAAATTAACATTTTATATGCCTCATTTACAACTTATTTAGTGAATTTACATATATCATTCTAGTAACATCAGTTTTGATTAATACGATTGTCTCATTTCAAATTAATTAAGTCATATAAACCTATAGAAGCACCTAAATAATTATTATTTTAACACCGACTTCAGCTGGATCTTTAATCCCAGTGAATTTAACACAGCTAAAACAAAGTAAATAATATAACAAGGGTGTAAAAATGAATTTCTTACTCGTTAAGGATTCTTTAGGAATTACAACTTCAATGCCGGAAGTACTGTTGACCAAATCTACGAAACCATCCTTATCTGTTGTTACCAATAGGATATACCTTCCGTACATGTGTCTGTTTAAACATAAACATGTGATATATTTGATGTAATTTTAATCCCTTACCCACTGAAACCTGAAAAAATTCGCCTCTGCCACCCAGCTATGATTGAAGTTTCGGGCAGTCTTACAAGACCTTATGCTTTGAGTATAGTCAGATTTTATTGACCTGTCAATTATACATTATAGCACTCATTTAAATATTCGAGCCTACTTCGGTTCTCTCGGTGTGGCGTAAAATTCAATCAAACAAACAAACCAATAAACAGCTGGGGAATCCATTTCATGTATTCAGCTTGATTTACTAATACGTTTTACACGTGTTATTTTTCCAATTGTTTACCAAACATTTAAAGTTATGTTCAGCTAAATAATGACATTGTCTATTCACTTAATCTGTTTAGTAATTTCTGGCTATTTGATGAAAACCTCTTTAAATATCAAATAAAGTAATGGTTCAATAAATAGTTTGCACCATTCATGTTGATTACGCGAACCATGTGGCTTAGTATTATCCGATATAAAAACAGTCAAACGATTTGTGTTTCAATTGTCAAATGCAAAACTGATACGAGTATATTACTGTTCATCCTTACAAGTTGTCGACTTTCGTATTATGTGAGCAAATATGACAATACTTTGTTTCCAAAATATGCCTTTAACAAGATGCATTTTCAACAGCTTAAAGTACTTTGAACATACTCAAACTCTGAGCCAAAAAAGTAATACCAGTCATTAATGGATTTGCGAGAGCGGAACAATAAGATACTTTGATATCGGTAACTTACTTTTGAAAATGAGCTTCAATTATGGAGTGGCTATCAAGTGTATATGGAACCTCAATTGATCCTGTTCTAAACATTGCATATCTGTCATTGCCTATCAATATTTTTGTAAATGTCTTCCTTCCATTTCCACCAATCGTGTAAACTTAAATATCAAAATTAACACAGTTCAGGCTTTCGTAAAGCCTTGAAAAGCCTTAATACTACATTAATATTTCATTCAAAGATCATTTATAATGACCTATTTGGAAGAGCTTAGAATTTTCTGTTTAACCTGCTGAAATCGAGACAGGCAAGTTTGCCCATCGTTGCAGTCTTATCTGTTGTGTTGGTTTAGTCATATTGGTCGAATGGTTGATTTTTAGAAAAAATGAAAATAACATATCGAAAAAAAAAATGTTTGCAGACATTTGTAGAAAGGTTCAACCATGCAATCAAACATCAAAGCTGTTACTGATTTCATTTTACCTTCATTCTTTCAATACGATACCATATAGGACATATTGAAAGGTTAAAATTTGCGTTTTCATATACATTTTTGTTTCACTTTTGTTCTGAAAATATCAAGAATGATAAAATTAAAAATAACAAATTGTTTTGCGACATTTGTTAAAAGGTACAATCATGTAATTGAACATTTAAGTTGTTACTGATTTCATTTGTCTACATTTTTGAAATGCGATACTAGAGCATATCAAAAGTTAAAAAAAAATTCTCATACACAATTTTTGTTTTATTTTTGTTCTGAAAATATCATCGTCTGTACAGCAAATATGGATAGTAAGTTTACGTTACTACCATTTAAATACTTTTGTTTAAGAAAGAAACTAATTTTACCTCCCCTAGAGCAACACCTTTTCAATGCTGGCGCAATGAAACATGAGATGCAATAATTGTCAAAATATTTTAGGTATCTACAGAAGTTCTCAGCAGCAGACACATTTTCATCAACGGGAAAGTCGTAGTTTTTAACGACATACGGGTCGGAATCCCACCGTAAACAGGTTTCTCCATTCATTGTCCTGGTTAGAGTACCATTGTAACTCACAAGCCTTGTTAGTGAAAATACTTGATCTAATTAAAGTAAAATGGT